ATCGGTCCCAATACTGAACCCTGGGGGGAATTCCCTCACAGGAAGGGACAATAGTTTAACACTTCATACTTTTTTAAGCCCATCTGAAGCTAATCTTCACCATACCACTCAAGCCACTAAGCAGGGATGTAGATGAGTTTGTTCATTCTTTCCATACTTGCTCCAAGAGCAGAATTATTTTTTACTTGTATACCTGACCCGAGGATATAAGCTTGTTTAAGGAGAGCCATAGTCCCTCTGTGTAAGGGGGGACTGTAAGGAACTGTTATATGTTATTTGATTTAGGGCACTCAAATAAATAAAAAAGTAATCAGGAAATAACTATGCTGTGATTGTACTTGTGGTTCAGTAGTCATGGGAATCTGTCACAGATAATGGGATATTAGGTGTGATTTAAGCAGTCATGCTAATATTCCAGGCAAGGTGTTACAGCAAGATGCCCTAGAGATTTTACAATGGCATTTTGAGTTTACATGTTAGGAAAATGCAGGTGCCTGGTTCCCATGACTAACCTGAGTTAGATCTGTTATAGAAATAGCCCTTTCATACTTTTCTGAAAAAACTACTATCTCATATCACATATGGTTTCTATTACCTTCGTAACTCATTGCATTGTGCACATTTCATTTTAGGCCTGAGTAGTCCATGTCTCTCCACTGGCTGCAACAAGAAATGGATTCTGCATTAAACAAGTTAACCGACAAGTGCTCCAAGACCTTGTTCAAGCAGCCAGGTGAAGTAAACCATATTAGAAATATTTTTTTGTTAAACAGTTTTAATAAATAATACCAACCTGTGTACTGAAGATGCATGGGATGTCCTACGTACAGCATGTCAATATGGGGTGGATGTTTTACCCTGATTAGCCTTGTTTGGTTCTCTAAAGAAGGAGTCACACAAAAGCTTGGAACAAAGTCCTTCTGGCAGTCCATGTTGGTTCGACAAACTTTGCTGGCCTCAATAACTTTTCGTGCTGGCAGACAGGCATACTGCAAAGGGCAGTTAAAATTATCATCAAATTTAAAGGTATTTTCCAACAGCTCAGAATAAAATGTACTATAAATTCCTTCTTAAAGCAAAGGAAGTGCCTCACTGATATGCTACCAGGCCATGAAGAGCTGAAATCTGATTTTTGGGGGTTTTTTGTCAAATCCTGCGTAACCTCTATCTGATATATATTCAACCTGTCACTCCATTTTTGGTGGAACATGGAAAAGAGGGTGTACACATGTACCAAAACAAAAGCTAGCTATTTTTAAAAAGGTACACACATGCACAATAAAAAATCAAGGCATCTAAACATTTCAGTGATTTCTAATGAACAGAGCCTGCACCAACATACCAGTGACTTAACTGCTTACGAAGTTTTATTCTTCATTGATGTAAAATCTCATTTGGCTGAACAAAACATTATGTTCAGCAAACAAACCAAAAGACCTACTGGCTGTGTGGTAGCTAAGAAACCATTCTCAACTAAGATGAACACAGGACTTAATGCAGTGCCGTGTCCCAAGTCCTACCTATAACACTCTCACTCAGCAGTCTGAAAGAAGAGATCTTTCTTGCTTCCCACAGGCCAAAGAAAGTACCGCAGAAAGGAACAGGAAATTGTTTTCCCCCCTCATGTCTCTCATAAAAGCTCAGTGATAATTTTCCTTTTGTTCTTAAATGCAAGCAAGGAAAGTTCTTCATCTACTGTTTGCCTTAGGGAAAAACAAACAAAAAAAAAAGGATATTCTTGTTTCTTAGCCTGATAGTTACACTCCCCATAGATGCATGAGTGTCAGATACTCTCCATTAACCTCAACACAAACTTTCTATTCTAATGAGGGGGAAAGGGCACACTTTTCAAATACTGCTGCATAGCACTGCAAAGACTATTCAAAATACTTGTTCAAAAATGCACAGCCAATCTGAGGACACTTGAAGGTCACAGGCTTCTGGATGCTTTTATTTCTTGTCTGTTCCTATGTAGCAGCTATGAGCTTAAGAATGTCAAAGCTCAGTGGGGTAGTGATTTATCAAATCTTGATGAACTCCAGGATGTTACCAGCCACTGACGTATTTCAAATGAACTGCTGGCCGGTGCTCAATTCTTAGTGGCTAAATACCACAAAAACACCCTGGAGTGGAAAGTTTACCATCACAGAAACTGTAAGCACAGCAGATGTAGGAGCAGATTTATTTCCATTTATCTAGGTATTTATCATTAGAAATCAGAACAATAACCAGTTGGCACGTGCAGAAAAGTTTACACAGTTAGTACTTGTGCTCTTTTGCTTGTAAAGAGAACTGTTAAAAATATTCCATCACTGTCAATATGGATCATGTATTTTAACAAACATTTCTATTTTTTGAAGAGAGCAAGGCAAAATCCCACTGAGAAACTTCATATGTTTCCACATGTTACAGGAAAATCAAAAAGGTGAAAAAGGAATGAATTAGAGGCCTGGATTTTGAGAAACTGGGCAATCTCTAGGACCTTCTTTTGCATGTTTTTTGTTTAAACTAGTGAACAGCACTGATGGCTTCAGAAAAAATAACCGAACAGATAGTCCAGTGCTTTGCTTTGCCTGTAGTGCTCAGTACTTCTAAAGACTCAAGCACCAAAATAAGCAATTTCACCTTGCTCTCAAAAGTTGTTTTGTCTTACCAATATTCTCATCCAGTGGTGAAAATGGGGGAGGTATCTTTCTGCCTGAAGGAATGAGGGGTATAAGATCTTTTCTGGTTGTTCCAGAGACTCCCTGATTGATCATGGGAAAAATTATAACTAATATTTTGGTTTTTTAAGCTGTAAATGGGGAGAATAACATACACATACACCTTTATTACAAACTGTAGGTATTCTTAAGCACTTGAGTATGCTGCATACATTTTGGTAAACAGTACTAATTTAATTTAAATAATTTCAGATTTACCAAACAGAATTAGCAGTTAAGTAACTTACCAGGTGGCTGTCCAAGTTATTGCTGTATGAAAAGCAAATGTCTGTGAGGCTGTTGTTACTACAGCATTCAACTGAGCTATCGAGTCTTCTATAGACTGAAGAAAAGAGGCATAGAGCAAATGATCAATATTATAGTAACTTCCTGAAAAGAAATTAGTCTCTGAATAAAGTAATGCAATCCTCCTGTAGCCTTCAAGAAATATAGTAATTCACACAGCCTAGCTGTGGTTCAGTCACAACTGAAAATAAGCTTCATCACTTTAAGGATGTCACTTGATTTCAATCATGTTACATACTGATTTTTTCATCTTAAAAAATGTCCTTTAGATACTGGGCATCTACCACTGCAATGTTCTGAGCATTATGAGTTACAAAATACGTTTATCCTCTGCCCCCAACTTGCATTAAGGTTTGGCATAGAAATGTTACCTGCTGCTGTACTGACTTCAGTAGCTGGCCACGGAAATGACCAAGACTCAAAATGTCCTCTTTTAAAATATGAAAGTCTTTACAAGATTCAGGTTTTGAAAGCTTTCCAAGCCTTGAAGGCTGCAGCAGTGAATAAATGATGTTTTAAACCGTGATTTAACTAGTCTGGTACAGAATCTTTGTACAGATGTTCTTTAAATGAACTAAACCTAACTTACTCTACAACAACAGCTTTAAAAAAAAACACAAAAGAATGGTCACTGTAAGAATCTGTGTCACAGCAACACTGCAGTACATTCCTTAGGTAGATCAAGCCTGTGATACTGGTTGCTGATTTATCACTGCATAACCTGCAGTCCACTAACATGGAGCTTTATGCCTGGGGCTTACAGGTGTGAGCACTGTACCGTGCAATCCTTTTTTCAAGTACCCAGAGGCTAAGCAACCACATATATTTTTGAATAGTGAATGACCATGAAATTAGTTTCCTTATATACTACATTGAAAACACTTTTCTTTTTTAATTTCAAGGAGGTTCTTGGGGCATTGTTTTCTGTCTAGGTTCATACTCAAATAGCTTACTCTCCATTTGTTTTATGGTCAAGTAGATAGGGTCCATTTGCTAGATGCAATTTTATTGATATTCTGTATTTATGTCAAGTTGTGAACTGTCAAGTTTTTGACAAATGACAGCTGCTAGAGACCAAACAGAGTTCATTTAATTTCAGAGGAATATTTCTCACTGCTGGAGGCTTATGGCTCTGAAAATGCAGACAGACTGGTGTGATTAGAATGCCACAGTGGGACAATGGGCTGCTAACACAATACAGCAACCAAGCTTGGAAGCAATATTGAGTCTCCAGTATTAAGTCCCTAGGATTTCAAATCTAAATAGGATGGGTTCAGTTGCAGAATATGCAGTTTTGTTATTCATGACTCTGAAATCGCATTTCAGAGAATAGCAGAATTTGAGCATATATACCTACAGCATCTAATAATTGGTTCTTACTTGCCAGCCCTGCCCAGCTGAAAGCATGTGCCAAAGTTGCCCTCCTCTTCAGAGGGATAATCCAAACTGTTAGGTCTCTAAAAGCAGGATCTTACCCACACTCTGCTGGTTTCCAATTTAAATATTTATCTTAGTTCCAGCTGTAAAATTACAGCTTTCATACTAAAAAAAGATAAATTACTTTTTCAGCCTCACAAGAGAACTATAATGCATTAAAAAATGTGGGTAGTTGAGCTGCCTGACCTCCTGTTTACTTCCAGTATGATGGAAAAATGCAGTGATAATTTTAAAGCTCTGAATAGCATCATATAGGTTTTGCTCAGCGGCAGCTCCTTCCTTACCTTTGGAATTTGGTCTCCATGGATGCTTGCATGAAACCAACTATACAGAGCTTTAGGGCATGTCACAAGACTTTCAGCCAATTTAACTTGACTATTCTTTTTTGTTCTACTTAATTTTTGTTTATTGTTCTACTTTAGTTCAGTTCACATTTTTTTGTTTCTCAGGGGTAAGCCATTACAGCAACAAGCACTCTAATGTATAAATGAAAACAGAAGGAAATAGACCGACTTTTAGAAGCACTATGTGCAATCCAGACAGAACTACGCTTATGGGCAATGACATTGTGAGGCTGAAGAAATACACGAAACATAAAACCCGTATAGTGAGACACATCAGAAGAAGTGGCCATAATAAAGCGCATCATTGGGTTAAGCCATACAATTTGTAATGTCATACAGATCAAAGCAGTAAGGTAATGTGTGGAATTTACATCTGCAAAAGATCACTGAGTTGATCCATATAACTGAACTAATAACAGAGGAGATAATTGTATTACTGCTAATAACCAAGTTATGCAATATCCTGAAGAGGCAAATTTTATTATTCAGATCATACAGGACAATTTTATAGGATGACTGGAAAACGAGAGAAATTCTTCTATCTACTTCTTCCTCACTTTCAGATTTCACAAAAACAAATGGCATATCAGTCACTGTTTAAGACAGGACAGCAGACACGACTTATGAGAAATCTGTCCCCAACAACAGATCCTAAATCCGAAGTAGTCTTTAAGACATGATAAAATTGCAATATAAAATAATGAAGAGAGAACCATGAAGTCATACCTCTAGCTGGAAAGCTTAATTGCTGTAGGGTGGCTGCACTTACACAGTAGCCAACCTGTGACTTCTCTGAAATGTCTCCCAGACAGGAATTCCAGTCTTCCACACTATAAACTGGGCAGTCTTGTAGGTTAGTGACAAGGTCTCCCACAAAAAGACCTCTGGGTCCATTGGCAGGAGAATCCTGAAAAGAAAGTGAAGGCAGTCATATTATTATAGTTAAAACTACAAGGATTTGTTTACCGTTCTGCCAAACAATCATGAAATCTTTAGTTTAAGACACTATTTCCAGAGAAACAGAAAATCTCAGGTTCCACTAGAACTGATTATTTAGACTTATGGCAGGCATTATAAAAACAGCATCGTTTACAAATAATAACTTATTTAGTGCAAAGAAAAAGAAAAGAGCAAGTCTCCAAGTGTTCTGGGGGACCTTTTCAAATTTGAGTAATGATTTTCACAGAAGTTAATATGTTGTGGTTTGTCCTACAATTGTAAGTTTAAGAAGCTTAAATTAATACCCTGAATCTTTCAACAAAGCAGCGTGTACCTATACTTTCAAAGGTATAAAGCATAATAAATGTCACTCTCCTCCTGAGTTATATCAGTTCACTTTTAGATCCAAGAAAGACTGAATCCTTTCAGCTCCTTTCAGCTCTACAACTGTGCTGTATTTGATTAAATCAGAAAAAAAAAAGAAAAATCAGCCCTTTCCAGAAACTCAGCCGTCTATCTCTGGTTTGCTTCCAGCTGACCAAACAAGCAAGGAAACTGTCTGAAAATAGTCTTTACCATTAAAAACAGATAGCAATAACTAGAGTGATAATGCAGTTTCCAGGAGATTTACTTGGTGCCAATACTGAAAAGGAATTAAAAAAAACCCCAAATCAGAAATAAGTCTGCAAACTCATCTCAAATGTCTAAATCATTTTATAGGATGCTAAATAGTCCATAAGTATTCATAACATGTTCCTTCATTTACTAATACAAAAAAACACAAGACTGAGAAGGAAACTTTAAGCAGACAAAAAGTGCAATATATTAGATTCTGCAGAGTGTTGCACTGACCAAATTTGACTGCGGTATTAAGAGACACAGGTATATTTCAGGTCACAAAACACCTAATGTGAAAAGAGCAAAGATCTTTTCTTACCTCGGCGACCTCAGTGACAAGTGCCCCAACACCCGTGTAATAGAAAGGGAAAAGAATGGCTGGCAGCAGAAACAAAACCACGAAACTTGCAACACCAAGAACGAAATTATGCCACACTCCTAAAAAGAAGGAAAAAAAAATGTTTCTAAATAAACACTGAAAACAAAAAGGTGGTTTTGAAATGCAAGATTCTACAGTTACCTTCTAATTAACTTTCGTGAAATAATTACTGTAAGAATGGATGAAAAGTTAATTTGTGAACACAGTCATGAAAGAAGAATATGTATATTACTTTACAAACATAAGTTTCTATGATGCCACTTTGTAGGGGAGTTTTAGAGAAGCCTCTGAGCCCCTGAGAATTATACTAACAGAAAAGACAGGGAAGCAGTAAGTCCATTTTTAAGGTGTCATGCTAGTATTGATACTTCATCATGTGATGCTATTTTTCTAAGTATGTAGTGGGCAGAGTATCCAGAAACAAAACTAGGCTTCTGAATCAATTATTAAACTACAGTTTATATCTACAGAGTTGTCAGCAATCATAAATATAAAAAAAACTAGTGGAATTAAAAGTATTATTTGTCACCTTAGACCACAATAAACTGTTGAATTTAAGAATCTTAATAAATGGGCTTATATATGAATACGTATTGTTTGTTCTAGACAGCAAGATGTCTGAAATTTAGCTGTAATTCAGTATTTTTCACGGTTTTTCATAGTTGTAATTCAGTATTTTTCATCTCCACTGTACCAATGGAAATAATTACATGTATATGTGCCAAACAAGTTTAGACAATTATTTGGAAAAAGGCTTCTTTTACAAGAAAATCTGGACCTAAAACCACATCAAGAAACCAAGTTGGGCAATCAGCATTTCCTGACACATTATTTTGGGCAACATACTTGCAACTGCAATCTTTATACTTTGCTGTCCTCCACAGGAAGAAATGAACCACTATCATAAGACACACTTGGCTTCCTTCAACATCCAGTGCTGTACAAATTTTCTCGTTTAATTTGTGTTCTTGGACAAACATTTTGTAAGACCAGTGCAAGAAAACTTTTAAACATTGAAGACTCTTATTTCTTCTTGCATTGCTTCATCTTGTTAAGAGGGGTTTGATTCAACTCTATATTTACAGTGCAGTTGCAGGACAGGAACTGAAGTAAATACATTTAAAAACATATCAAACCTATCTTTCTTGCACTGTATATAACACAGGATTCATAACACAAAGCAGACTCTTATTTCCCCTGGCTATCTCTGCATGTCACCTGGTCTTTTATGTTTCTAATACTGTAGAAATGAGAGACATTTTTGGAGTACTTTAACTAAGGGTTTGTTGCCATTTCCACTAGTAGATGCTTCTTATGGTGATATCTCTTTTATAGGTTTTAATCCTATCTCATTGAAAGGCACCAAAGGATAAGAAGTGCAGCACAGAACCATTTTTAATCTACTAGGCACAGAATTAATGCTAAAAATATCACAAGTCTTACAAGAACACTCGTTCACTATTCTTGAACTCATGATGCCATCTGCTGTACAACAAATATACTCTCCAGTCTCCAGAGTATGGGTGGATTACAAAAGGAATATTCGGTGTCATTCTGTACTCTACCACTTTCACTCAGCTGCCACACAAAAATCTGAAACCATGTCTCTGTAAACTCAGATACTTGGAACACTGAGAATATGTTAATTCAACTGCTCTGAACTAAGAAAAATTGAGTGAAGTTCACTGAGAATCACATTTTATCATTATCAAACATCCTAGTTCTGAAACATACCTATCATTAGCTGTAAAAAGATGTATATATTTGTTGTACCTAACTGATAACAAGCCACTGATGCTAACCAGTCTTGCAATATGCTTGTTCCTACCTTGCACTCCCTTATTTTAGGTTTCCCAAGAAACCTGAAAAATTATTGTAGGTGTTTGCTTGTCATCAAAAACATCCAAGCAATTATTTTGTATTACAGTTTATGATGTTTTGTTTCCAGATGATTTCTCAGGAATGTATGTAAGCAACTCATTCTGAAAATTGGTATGTCTTCTCTTTCACTTCCGTTCACAGTAGCTGGAAATGGAAATTGATTAATTTGAGAAACAGGGCTTCATAAAAGCCTATTGCAGTAAATGATTTTGGATCATTAGGGTATTTGAAATATTGATATATTTACTTACTTAACATTTATCACAATTCACCTGATATATGAAAGCTTGAAAATATGCTTTTCTAAAGGCTTCTCTATGCCCAGCCTAAAACCCTCTTTATAATGTTTTATTTACAATATTCAAGAAACAGTGTTAGTATCTAAACAGTACAACAGGGTGGCTACTATCCTACTGTCCTCTGCAACAGAAAATCATCAGTATCAAGAACTAAACCAAGATGCTAACTTTTTTCTGTCTTTATTTCAATACTTTGGGAACCACCTTTGTCTTTAGAAATCAGTAACACATGCTGGTCAAGTAGCATAACACAGTCCCAGTCTAACTTTCCACAGCAACAGGGCTCTACTTCCCAGAAGCCAGAGACTTCAAACAACATCAAATCAAAAACATTTGGAGGTTATTTGGAGCCATAAAATGTGATTCTCTTTGGATGTTTGTGTTTTAGCTTTTATTTCTGCTGATGGCAATATCAAAACACAGTGACCTGTATAATAACATAACTCTCATGTCACTGAAAATCACTCACAATACTATTGAAAATCACATAATAGATTCTTCCTATCACAGAAAATGGTAGTGAATTGCTCAAGGGTGTTCACCTGTGACAACAACTCATGTTCTTATACCACCAGTCTTCTAGCTGAGTATTTTCCAGCTTGTGTGCTCCAAGGTTTTGCTACTTAGGCCACAGTCTATGAAAAGAAAAAAAAAAAAAAAAAAAAAGACAAAGGAACTTCTGCACCTGAGCTACTGTTAGAGCATTTTCTAATGAGGGAGGAAGGTCGGAAACCACATTTTTTCTCCCACCACACGACTAGAATTTCTTATGCACAACTATTCGGAATCGGATCTCAGACAAAACTTTCATGACATGATATTGGTACTTAAGCTCCTAGAAACTGACATCTCTCCTCCAGAAAACAGCACAATATGGACAGTAACGATCAAATGATTTTCTGAAATTACAATTTAGATTCAGAACAGAAGGACCACCTTTAGGTACAGAGAAGCTTTTGCCCTTCTTCATTATAAACCTTCAGTTGTCTATCAAGGATTCACAAATGGTGCCTGTAGAATAAGTAACTGTGCTAAGCAAAGATTTAATAAAAAAGCACAAATGATTACCTGCACAAAATATCCTTAATTGCTGGACTGGGGATATCAGTTGTAAGTGGGTTGTGAAGAGGTCAACAAATGCTCCAGGATACACAATGAAGATAAAAATCCCAAATCCATTAAATCGTACTTGTTCTCTTAAAATGAAGAAAAGAAAAATGAAGTGGTGTTATTGCAAACAAAGAAATGAAGAACTGAGAGATTAGCTATATAGTACACATATTTTTGACTACAAGGATAACTAAAATTATAATTCCAAAACTAACTTATTTTTTGTAATATGAATAATGGAAAGATAATTAAACTAAAGGATGTGTTCTGCAGTAGCTGTCACTTTTAAGCAGTACACGTTTGTGAGCCTGGGAAAAAATAAAGCATAAGTTCAACTTCATTTCTGTCTCCTGGTAACACATAAAATACTTAAAAAAAAACCAAACTACTTTCAAGTTAACATATAGTATAACATTTGGGGGATTCTTCCTTTTAAGTAAAAAAATGGCAGCCTGTAGGGTGCAGATTCAAACTAATCTGCAAAAAATTATCTGGAGAAAGCAATCACTTTCCTTTTAAAGAAATACTTACTATATTTATAATTTCTCTCTTTCTCCTAATTTCATTTAGGAAAAAAACTAACAAAACAAACTAACTAAACTAACAAAAATTTGGGAAACGACTCCTGAAAAAAAGGAAAACACATCAAGAGGTTAAAAAGGACAAATGCTACTTTAATATATTAGTAGGGGACACTGTCATACAGATAATATATATATAATTTTCAGATATTTCACAGTGGCTTTTAAATGGCACTTTTTGGAATAACTACATAAAGGTTTTATGAAGCTACAAATTTCATGAGGGACTTATGGAGGCATGACAATCATGTTCCAAGGCAAACCAGGCACGGATCAGCTAATCCCAGATCTTTATTGAGACAGTACGCTGGGCATAGCATTTTATTTATTCACATTTATTTATTTATTGTGCATATACAATAAAAGAAGACATTGAATTATACAAAATTAATCATAATTAAGTAATAAATTAATTCCTTGGAGTTAACTCATCAGACCTATATGTACTACCAATTAATAGTAGGCAGTCTAATGCCTATACATGATTTCATGGCTTGCATAGGCAGGTAGAGAGGGAAGAAGAAAAAGGCTTTTTTGGCACAAGCCTTCACTAAGTTAAGGCTCAGATACTTGAGCTGAAGTTGGTCAAAGTGTATTAGATTTCAGGGAGTCAAAGTGATTTTCCAGGATAATAAAATTTGCCCACCATACAGCTATTTAGTAAAGCCTAAGCACTGAGGATTGACCCTAAAAGCACTATAGACCCAACCTGTGTTAGGAGCAGGGGAAAAAAAAAAGTCAAGGAGAAAACAGCAGCAGCAACAGCAATGTACATTGGACAAACTAAATTCTCCCCTGGAAACAGCTGGGAATTTATTTTTTGACAAAAACATAAGCTAAACTTGAATATTCAGAGCCTTTGCTACAGATCTGGAATGAAGCTTTCACACCACTAAGGCATAAGAAGTATTAATTCTGATTCAAAAGAGTTCTATAGTTACTCCTGGCTTCTCTGCAGTTAGCCAGCAGCATGTGAAGGCACTGTATGAGAAAGGAAATTTTGTTGCTTCTTGCTGTAGTGGGATGAGCAAGAGCTTCATCCTCCATATAAAAACACCCCTGGGGAAAAAAGCTGAAAGAAAGATAGAGCATCTGAAACACATAGGGTCCCAAACCACCCCTTTAATTCTGAACTTCTGGGGTTATAAAAAAAGTAATGGGTTAAGATGCAGTCATTACTCCCTACAATCAAGAAAATCAGAGAAATTACTTAGGGCTTCATGCTTGTGGGACAGATAATGATGATGTCCAGGAGAAATGCAGAGGACACTTGAATATCAGTCCCAGAAACCACCACTTAACTCTCTTATGCTAGAGTGTTATTTAACAGTAATGACTAACCATGTCTAATAACTTTTTGTAAAGTAATCAGCGTAGTTAAGTGACATTAAAAATATCACCTTTGATAAAAATTAACACATCACTGAGAATAATAGGGGCAAATCACATTTGACTGGAGTTACTGCTTCAGCCTGCTTGTATGCTACTTCACAAGCTATGTTTAAACAAATCAATTTAAAATCTATTTTAAAGTACCATTGTGCAATAGCATATGGGTCCTCTTTAAGTGCCACAGCTGCAGAAATGCAATTGCTGTGTGAAAAACAGGAGCACTTAAAAGAGGTATTATTTTAAACCTGATGCAGCATGGTACATTTGCTAAGCAGAACTCCTTTCTCATGGTCTGTAGAATAGACACTGCATTAAAACTCCATCTTCAATTGTATACCCTTCCAAACTTGGAAGGAATCTAAGGAATCTATGAAATACAGAATAAACAGACTCTCTAGACAAACCGAAGAAGCGCTAACAACATTCACCTGTAATTAAATGCTCTGGAATATCAGTCTTTTTCTGGCACATAGGTAAGAGAAAAGTGATTTGTATTACCGAATAGCTGCCACCCCATGGCCGACTTCATGTATCACACCACTGATGAGGATTGCAGAGAAGAAATAGGTCAGCTGGCTGACAGGCAAATTTACACCAGGCACCTGTTGATGTGGGCATGACAACAAAACAAAACACACTAGGAAACCAAGAGCTACAAAGACAAATCATGCTGCCCCTAAACTAGCTGCTCTCACTCAGCTTCTTCAGACTCACAATACAACAGGGGCTGTTCTCACACAGCACTATCAGTTTGCACCTCTGTTCCCAATGTAGTCAATGTATTTTAATATATATTAAGTATATATATTCTTTTGTTGAAGGTTGAAAAGCTCTCCAGGCACAAAAGCCTTCTCCCTGCCCTACTTATTCCCCACAGCCCTGACTGGATATTTCCTACTCCATATTAAGCTCGAGAAGTTTATAAAAATGTACACAGCCTTCCACTCAAATGAGACAGGCTTGGCAACTGTGAGCACTAGCTTACAATTTCCTGCAGCCAGTCATCTAGCTGTAGAGACAATCCATCCTTCAAAAGAAAAAAAAAATTGTACAGCACTTAAAGCACTATGAGCCCTCAAAGCCTATAACTGGAACTGTCTGTCTCTCTTCTCTCTCCTTATCCAAATCACGAGACTATCCCAAATTTACAAGGTCAAAAAAGGGTAACTTTCATCTGTTCTTCAAGTTTTGTCAGTCTACATATGGCAATTTAACCCTTAAAAAAAAGCATTTGAAATGAGTATAGTATTTTAATTTATATAAGGCATGATATGGAGACTCCTGACATTCCTCCTGTTGCTGTGGATTCCCACTACTCCCTAACTCCTTCATTGCACTAGTCATGAGACACCAACTCTGTCCAGATGGGCTTCAAAGCAGTCACGAGTCACAGAATGAGGAACCATCCCCTCTTTCCTCCTGATCAACTTTCTTCCTGCTTGTTTCCTGATGCTGCTCAGCAGCTACTGCAGTAGGATGGTAAGGCCACTTCTGCTGCTTGCTCTTGGACAGTTTTGTCTGTCTCAAGAACTCCCCACTCAAGGCAGGGCACACTCCAGCACAGTCACTAACAGCTGATGTGATTGCAACTTGAATTACAATCCAGTGGCAGAAAAGAGATGCTATGGGAAAAAAATCCTGACCTGTCTATAGGACTCCCTAAAAAGTACCCTTGTGGGACGCAAAATGCTGCAGATCCAACCGAACAGATCCCGTTTGATCCTACCTTCATTCAGTCCTGCACATTCCTCAATTATATGCATTCACCTACCCATGCAGCAGAACTCTACAGCAGACTGGTGAGACAATCTAGCTAAAAGAAAACCTTAAAAAGACTGTTTTCATTAATGTTAAACCGAATCATATCACAAATTCTATCCAGGGTATGATCATGACCAAGTAGTTACCATAACTGGCACAACTATCATACCTCACTGCATGAAGACAGCTGCTTTTTTTATTAAGCATCCATTAGCTTATATTATAGCATCAGCTGGTGGCACTAATGCATCAGGTAACTGGTGTTGCCAGCAGCCCTCTGCTCTGGGCACAGGGGAGGACAGACAGCACCAGCAAGAGTTGTCATCTTAATACCACCATGACTATAGCGTGTTAGAACACAACACCAGATGCTTGCAGACTTCATGTCAAAGAAGCTAGTTTAAGATTCACCTAAAACGGAAGGTAACTCTCCTGAACGGGTCTGAAATCAAGGGCACGATTTTGTTAATAACCATTATAATCTTACATTTTATGGCCTTCTGGAAATGCCTTTAGTAAAAGAAGATCCTTTGCTGGTAACTGATCTGCCTCCTTCCCACTTTTGTCAAAAGGCAACCAACACAAAAGGAGGCAGCTAAAGAAAGCCCAGTTACCTACAGTAAGTATTTTAAATAAAGTACATTACTGAAAAAAAGAGGAAGGGTATAAAAATCTTAATCAATAAAACATAAGTAGAACTGTATTTTCCCCTCTCAAAAGCCAAAGGCTTTTGCCACAGGCTGTTAATAAAAAGATTTATGCCACAGGCTGTTAATAAAAACACTTGTTTGTTTCTCTTTAAAAAAAATAACTTGCTGTCCTCCAGGCAGTCAAATACAAATTATAGAATAGTTTGGGCTTGAAGGGACCTTTAAAGGTCATCTAGTCCAACCCCTCTGCAATAAGCAGGGACATCTTCAACTAGATCAGGTTGCTCACAGCCCTGTCCAACCTGACTTCCAATGTTGCCAGGGATGGGGCATCCACCACCTCTCTGGGCAACCTGTTCCAGTGTTTCACCGTCCTCAAAATTTTTTTCCTTATATCTAGTCTAAATCTACCCTCTTTTTATTTAAAACCACCACCCCTCGTCCTATTGCAACAGGCCCTGCTAAAAAGTTTGTCCTCATCTTTCTTATAGGCCCCCTTTAAGTACTGAAAGGTTGCAATGAGGTCTCTCCGGAGCCTTTTCCAGGCTGAACAACAATAACTAATTTAAATGAAGAGAGGTCCTCCTGACTTGCTTTTCACCTCTTTGCAACCACGCATAGGTCACTTTTTTTGTCTGAACTTATGCTAGCACAGTCCTCTCAAAAAGAATACTGAAACTCTATACAGGCAGAATTATAAAACTGTGACCACTCATAAATGAAAGAATGAGGTAGGAAAGAAAAGAGAACCACAAGTCAACTTAGGAGAAGTAACCTTATCCCCACACATGACATTACATTATCCCTACACATCCCATCTTTTTCAGTGCCAGTTTGTCCTTGGTTTGAATGCAGTGGTATTGCCAGTATGAAGTCACTGAGGAATCAATTCCATGTTGAAATTGTGACCATTATCCTAGATGTCTGCTTTCACAGTTCCAATTGACAGAGGATTCATTCCAAAGGCTCATCTTTACTTTAGTTGCCTCTATGTTATTACCTCAGATGATCACTTTACTCTGGTGTCACAAAAGTGGATAGATCCATAAAATTATCTCAGAAAGTGAAGATGTAGGGGAGGCATTTCTTACTCCAGAACGTAACAGACATACATGGTTAGGATAGACCCTGTAGGCCTGCAAATTAAAAATTTTGTGTGTCATGTTCAACTTGTGCTCTACTGGACACACAGACTGCCCGCTCCTGTCTGCTTCTGAAGATAATTCAGGAGCAGGCTGTGGACCGGGTGTCTGCAGTGGCAGTACCAGCAGTTCTCTCCCAGGTCTCATTGCCTGCTTTTGCCAACACATATTTCATTTGCTATATTCACCCTGTATGGGTGAAACAGACCCAAACCATCCCAAAGTCACCAAGTTGATGGCACAGGCTAATGATCAGGCTTCCTGCACTCACGCAATGTTTTAAGTCTAGCAGCATGCGGTCAGTTTACCACTTACAGGAAGGCCTATCATGGCAGCGCACAATTCCCAGCTTCTGTTCACTAGACTAGCTGACTACTTTAAATAGAGTAAAATGGTTGGGCATCCCTGCTCTAAGCCATGGAGCAGAAGGCAGAGCAATCTCATCGGACTTTCTGCATTTCTGGAAAATGACCATACATTCTGGCCAGATAGCACTCTTGCGGAAATAAGGGTGGCTAGGAATTCTTCCAGGTTAAAAATGTTGTAAGGGCAATGTCAGTTCTTCCATCATCGCCTTGTGTAGAGATAAAAAAAGAGTATTTGCCATCTCTCCCGTTCTGTGAAATACTTTTCATTCTAAAACCATACAATATATTGTCCAGCATCAGAAATCCATAAAACAATTAAATATGTGCTTATTAGGCCTTTGACTAGATACTGCCAGAAACAACACTTTCAATTTCACACTGTAAACTCACTGAAGAATCTTTGCTTCCACTATCACACAAAGCTCTTTACACTTCTCTCATTTCTACTGATGTTTTGCATTGTAATAAATGAAATAGAACTCCTCTCTTCCTGTGGATTATGGACATGCTCTGCACAGTTTAAGGCCACCAGTGCCCCTACATTGCACAGCTCAGAGGAGGTGAATTCTTGGCTCTGCTTAGTACTATGATAATTTAAGGCTTTTCAAAATTACTAGACAATTCTCACTTTGGAGAATTTTTAATATAAATACTTCCACATGTTTGTCTTCATTTGTCTTCCTCTCTTTTTACTACCTACTCTCCCCATTTTTAACACTGAAAACAAACCAGCAAATTTTTATGTAGATGAATAGAGTTAGGTTATTCTTGCACGGAAGGATTTAAGCATCACATACCCCATTAAGAAGCCGGTAAAGATCAGTTCACAACTCTCAAATAAAGACCTGAGTAGAGAACGCTTACCACAACTTGCAGCATACGATCATTCTGGGCTTTTGGTGCCTCGGTGAGCATCTGTGTCAGTGTTTGCATCAGTGTCTTTCCAAGAAGAATAACAGAGCCAAACATGGCACCTATACCAAACACCATTCCTATGCTGAACCTAAAAAGAGAAGAAAATAGCTTAGCAATATACAGCCACAAGAAGAGAGGGCATATTCTCTGGATATACAACTTAGCACACCAAATTCATAGGGCAAAACTCATCTGATGCTACTACCATTCATGTATCAACAATCCAGCACAAAAATACTAGCTAAAGGAAACTAATAACAATAACAGCATATACTAATAACATTAATAACATATATTTTCCTTGTTTAATGAATGTTTTACATCCAAACCACATCCTGATTAATTTTCAAATATTTTTATGTTGCTCTTACACATTCTAAATCAGTTACCCAATATATGTAATTTGCCATTAGCTATGAATATAAAAACATAAATAACAATGTATAATTTACCATGATGCACATACCGTCACATATTTAGACACTTGGATCAAATGATAGGGTAGCATATGTATTTATTTACATAAGCTTTTTCAACAAATTTCACATCTTCCTCACAAAAAAGTAAAAAGTGCTAAAGAACAATAAATGACACTCAACATTTGTTAAAGAACAACTAAAAGGTACAACTGCAAGACTAGATTAAAATTAATTACTTAAGCTATATTGTTCTTCTCACCAATTTATTTTTCATTAAAATCAGTGCTGAAAATCATTACAATTTACATCAGTCCACCTAGTGGTGAATTTCTATTAAGCCTTATTATTATTATTTTATACTGTCCAATAGTTGTAGACAGAAGAAAAAAATCCTGAATTTATACCATAAATACAGAAATCTAGGTTTCCACCTCCCCCAGTTGTAGAACTGGCGGTTGAAGAGAGCTGTTTGCCATCGCATGTGAAAAGGAGAGATGCTCAAGCCATACGTCAGCAGCCAGTCTTCATAAGGTGCCTTCAGAGAGTTGGATGACTGCAAAACAACAGAAAATTAGTTTGACCAAAACTTCTAGAAATATTTTGTGTTATGTGACCAAGCAGTAAATGTGATCTGTTTATATAAAAAGGGATCTATAACTTCAGGTAGATGTCCTGCACATTGTTTATATTTTGACATATAGGTAGGTGTGATATGTAATATGAAAAAGTTATGCCACTGTTTTGATGTAATAGCAACAGTTCTAAGACTGAGAGATCGAGTATCCAGTGTTATTTGACAAACAAGATCTTAACATCTTAACACTCTCCTAGTGTTAAATAATTTTCACTACTTTTTAACTGTCTGGTTAGAAGGCTAAATATCGAACTGTTTATGGTATTTTTTTCAATATGCAATTATATTCCAGTAAACATTTTTAAAACTACAATAAAGAAAAATGTTCCTTTTGGCTTCAGCTGAAAACACTGTTTCTAATATGGGTGAGATATGGATCAGTACTGTGGATACCCTTTAGTAAGGTTAAAAATGAGGTCTGCTTCTCAAACACAAAGACTCCGCCTAAAGAGACTCTGAAATATTTGATCATACTAACAAAGAGCTAATTTATATTTAAGGATTTTAAAATTACCAACCTGTATTGCAACAGCAATTTCACTATGATAATTGCCCAGCATTTCAAGATACTGCTGGAGTGCCTTCCTAGTAGTTCCAACGATTTCTCTTTATGAGAAATGTGATCTAAAAACTATATGATGAATACATATCTGCAGTATTATCTGATATTATTATTGCTACTTTATATCATATGGTGCTTGTCTTCTCAATAGGCTTTACTCGGCCTGCTTCATGGAAGCTAGAATCAGAAAACCAACTGAAGGAATGCCTTCCTTGGAGGTGAAAGAGGAACTCATAGCTCAGGAAAAGTGCACCAGAGCTTTGAGCCTTTTGACTTCGAGCAGTTCTCAAGGCAGGAGTGTCTCTGACATAATCCAGACCAGCCTTCGGAACTGTCTGAACTGGAGCATTGTTCCTGAGTTTCCCTATGAGCAGCAGCACCTACTGTAGACATTGGGAACGCATCGTTCACAACAGGCTCCGCTCTCTCCCCTAAGAGGAACTTCACAAGTTTCTGGCTGTCATCCATGGTTCCTTGAACAAATTTAGAACTTGCCAAGTTCCTTGCATTCCTCCTGTCCCGCCGTGAGAGCGGTGGGGATGAGGATCTCATCTTGCACAACTGTATTCATGGCTTTTCAAATTTTGTTGAATTAATTAAAACTTCAACACTAAAAATTTATTTGAAGTAACAATTTTCCTAGGACACAAGACCCATTTACTCAGGTCCTTGCTCATTTATCACCTATTACACCATTTATCCTTTCTGCCTATGTATTCCTGTGTCATTTCCTACTTCTTCACTCTAGTTCAGTCACACTTTTGTTCAGTCACCTGAGGACACCTACAGAAATTTTTGTTGCAATGTATTCCCTAATCAACACTAGTCATTCCCTGTGACACCACTAAGTTTAGTGTCCACAACTGGACCAGCATTTGCTAACTCAGCATTTGCTAACTTTACCAGAAGAGATCACAAAGATGATTACACTTTTACAAATAATAATGCATAAGCCAAAGGAACAAACACGTCCTCACATAATCTACCAGATAATTAAGAACAAAAATGAACATGACATTAAGTACCTCTGACAAGAGAAACTGTCATTTTGGGAATTCAGTAAACACATCCTATCCAGTTCACACAGAGTCCAAAAAAACCCCAAACTGAGCACATATTATTATAATAAAGCCAATTGGATATACTGATTTGGCACTTGAAAAATATGTTCCTTTTTCACATGCAAAAACCACTTTTCCCCTAGAAATGTCACAAATTCATCCCTTCAAATTTGTTTTAACCACATCACAGCCCCACTGCAGCAGCAAGGAATAAATAAATAATAAGTTTTCCATGAGAAATCTGGGACTACTGACCATACATTTGCCAAATGGGGGAAAAAATTAAAAGGCACAAAAATTCATTTTCCTTTTGTGTTTTCCTCACAATTTGTGTCAATGGTATTCATTATCACCAAATGACTGCATCCCTTTCCAAAATATATTAAAAATCTCAATGCAAATGTTGCTTCTTCTGTCCTGAGCCCAGTAGGATCACCACATTCCCACGTGCACCCTCACGCCCTGGTAGGATTTAAGCTGGTATCTTATGTATCATTTTAAGCTTCCTTCACACAGGCCTTGGCTCTGCTTGTTTAAGTTGAGTTCTGAGTGATCTTTGTTACATTAATTTCACTATATAAGCAGTACCTTTTTTATTTATGCAAGCCTACAAAATAATGAACATCTGCTAAATACTCCAGGAGCTCCATAAGTATCTGCCAGCAAGCAGGAGTCCTTAACATTCTTCTCCGCTGACAAAATCTGTTCGAGAGCTCTGAACCATTTCAGCTTCCTGACCTTAAAAGCTGAAGGCTAACCTTGACTGAATGTGTCTAATGCAGCCTTTATTACTCATAGCAGAAGCAGGGACAACCTTCTACTCTTTGCTCGTTCCTGATCCTTCAGGCAGAACGAAATGGGATGATTTAAGATGCTGGGGAGCAGGAATTCAGGGGTCTGCCTAAGTGATTCCTTTTTGCAGGATCCAAGCTTCAATGGGAATTTTCATACCAGTGGTTCAATGAAGAGCAACAAGAGGGACTTAAAATTACAAGTCTCAGCTTGATTCAGCATATTTTTAGTTTTCTAACACAAATTTATCTTGTAACTCTAGAAATATTATGTGAATTTATTTGTGCAAAAATGCATTTACACACACAGTTATGCCTCCTATATTATAGACTTTCTAAGGGTCAGACTGCTTAAAAAAATGTTCAAAATATGAACAAAACCAGTAAGTGAGCAAACTGAGCAAGAGACATTGTACATTGAACAAGTTTACAGAATAAACATCAATCACAAGTTACAGCACACACCCTTCTCTTGCCAAAATAAAATCAACAGAATCACGCATGGAAAAGTACTCCTGTATTATTTTTCACTGATGCTCTGTGCGTCCTTTTGGTGTAATTAAATTGTAAGTGATTTGAGGCTTAGGCAGGGACTGCCTTTTGCTATGGTTGCTAGCACCCTCGGGTTATGAATGTGGTGGGAGATTTACAGTACCAGCAATAAAATAAGCAACCCTGTTTCCTAATTATATAAATCTCTTTATTGAACACAAATTCTGACTGTGGTGCTCAGTGAAACTTGTCATTGAGATGCACACACATGACATCTACCAGTAAGTTCACTAAAACCCAACAGCTCCCATATACTTCCCGATGATTAATAACCTTTATCAACTTCTAGTTAGAAGATTAAATTTTAACTCCTGGACTGTCTTGCTTGCTATAGCATTCCAGGCATTCCCCCTTCTTTTGCAACATAAACCAGGCTCTAAATTGGCTCCAAACAATGTGGGGTTTTCTTTCTCTCCCTTGCTACTGCTAAGCTCTACCAGAGGTTATAACATGAAAAGCAGTGGCTATTCTTACTTACAAAAGAGAATGATTTTAAGTTCTAATGCTGAAAGAGATCTTCAGAATCTCAGAGATACAAATGGGTTTCAGCATTGTGACACAACAGGTCTGCTACCTGAATTCAGCTCTTGCTTTACACTCTAAGATTTTTCATTTGACACGAATTTACCGTTAAAAGAAAACCAGCCTGCTGGCTGACCTTTCCAGTGGTTTTTGATGTGTCTCGCTAGCCAGGAGTGAGTTTTTTCTGGTGGCCGGCCAGTCTTCTGTGTTTCAAAACAATGCCATGTTTGTTTCTAAATACCCAATATAAACTTGACATAATAAAATTTGAAAAATCTTCAGATAAATTACTGTACTTTTTATTGTCATTTTTTATTTGGCAATTAATAGCTCTCAGCATTTACTGAACTACCTTTGCTCTACAACAATTAGCAGCAGGGGGAGCCACTTATTTTTCCAAGTTTTCTCATCACCTAAAATTTCTTATACTTCTTCCTATACTTTACAGGAGAAACAAAATGAACGTTTTTTACTTTGAATTCACTAGGGACTATCTGTACTTGGCAGAAACAGATGCAGCTCCTGGACTGTAACACTGATGTTAAAGACAATTACAGATCAAACCTTTCATTTCATTTTTGCTCATATTTAACAAGCATACATCCTATTTTGCATACATACTTTGCAATTTCAGTCATCTCTGAGCAATCATACCTCTGGAGCTTTGCAAAACCACTTAATGAAACTTGTGCACTGTGCAAATGCATCTCTAGATATAAAGAAATGATGTCTCGCTGTTGTATTTTCTTTTTCAACCTTCCCCCCTCCATCAGGAGGAAAAAGATGAGTCTTTCAATATTCTCTGAAGATTAAAGTTTATTTCCGTAAAAACTGTTTGTATTGATCTGTCTCACCTTTTTTTTTTTTTTTTTCAGTAAAACACTCGAAATTTTTTAACAATACTTTAAACTCCAGAACGCACATTAAAGGGCCACAGAACTGTTCAAGCGCTAGGCTAAAAACCGGCTTCACTACCGTTTCACAGCTTTGGTCCTTTAACACAGACCCGAAATCCCTCCAGCCGGCTGGGAGGCGTTCTCAACCCCAGCACCTCCCCGAGCGCCGCTGCTAGGGCTCCTCGCAGGTCTGAACGGCCCCGTTCCCAGGAGGCGGCGGCCTGCCCTCCGGGAGAGGACAGCCCCAGCAGCCCGAGGGAGCACAGCACGGAGCGGCGGGGCCGGCAGGCAGGCACAGCCTTCCCCCAGCCG